GCATGAGTAATATTTATGATTCATTTTTCTTTTCCTCAGAGGGTTAATGACATTATGCAAACTTTGGCGCAATGGTTACAGTTCAATGGTCACACCCTCATTTTAAGTGGGGTGAGTGGTGGTCAGTGTTCCTCAACATGTGACGAATTTTGTCATTGTTCTAGCTCCAAGAGAATTCATCTTCGATTGCGAGGTAAAACTTTTTAAAGTCCTCTGTAATCATCACGTAAAATTGCATAGTACTTGTTTCACGCCTTGTAGATAGAGTTTCAATTTCTTAAACAAACTTCTGAACACATAATGAACTCGGCTCCTCGTCGCTCGCTTCGGACTTACTCTAGACGTCTACAACTATCGTGGCTGTTGTGCGTTGCCCTGCCTTGAGGTGAATTGCCTTGTACGTGTTATTCTCGTACCTCAGTGGCAATGGTACTATCAGCAAGAAGCTGATTTCGAACCTTTTACGTGCCGGACTCGAATATCAAAAACAAACTCTCTTCAAATCGCTTATTCCCTTGAGGAGGCAATTCATCTTTAGTTACTTTTGTGCCTTTGTATTGTCATACGAGGATGGGCGGCCTTGCTGTCGACTGTGAGGCTGAAATTCGCCTTCACTCATCTGATAGCTTCCTCTCCAGCCTGATCATATGCACAGGATGTACGTCTGTGGTCGTGGCCTGCTCCTGCCGACACAAACACCGATGTTGGCCTTCTAGAGAACTCTCTTTCATACATACACTCATTCAAAAGTCTGTCAGCTGTGACATCATCAGTCACAGACTGTGAATATGCTAAAGAGCATGACTAATGTCAGGCTTGCGCCATTATTGTGATGGTGATGGCAAAACGGTTTTCTGTTAGCCAGCGCTTTGCGAAATTTTTGCCATTACAAGGTCATGAATAATGATTTCATGTCAACGACCTCTGACCGTTGCCTCGCTGCGTCTGAAAATTAAGCGAGGTTGCGAAAAGGCAGCATTCGCAGAACTTGAAGCACGATTAAATTTCTCTTATCCTGACCTCCTTTGGAAATGTTTAAATGGTTTGAAAGAATTCATACTCATATCCTCTGCATGCAGAAACAGCGCAAAGAGCAACGACAGAGAAAACAAAAAAAGGCACCTAGAATGTTGGCCAGTAGGACAACGAACGCCAGAGACAAGCTGTGAAAGAGATGCCTTGAAAGTGAAGCATCGGACGAGCCATGCAGTGAATGAGTGAGTGAGTGAAAGGGCGAAGATTAGAGGCAAAAACTGAGGAAAATAAAGTCAGGTTCTTGGTACTGCCGATGAAAAGAAGGCGGAGATGAAACTACCTACTTAAAGATGAGGTTAACTGAGGCAGTAGATAAAGTGTCCTTGACATTTCCAAAATTGTGTGTGAGAAAGAGAGAGAATGAGAAAGAAATACATACAGCTTCTTTGTGTATAGTGATAACGTGCTGCCTGAAAATTGCACTTCTTCTGAAAAATTTCACATCACTTCCTAATGAAAATCATATTTACACAGTTCTCATGCATATCGTTTTAAACTAGACCAGTCCGGACTGTTTTTTCGACAGTTCTATGAAAGATTACCGAGGTGATGTGCCTGAACTGATTGTAATCGAGCAAAGCTCGCAACGAAGGCTATGACCATTCAACAAATGGAGTTCGAATCACTCAATAAGTGATAAGCTTTAACCTATCAATAATAAACACCAAATACCTTCGTTTTATACCTCTGAGGCAACGAACCGCATGTTTCAACCTCGTTAAAGACATGTGTTAATGGTCTCCTTTTTCCAGTACAGCCTTTGCTTTTAAACCGTGAAACGATATTGCATTATTTCATTACTTCATATACCTCTCTACGAAAGAAAGCCTTTACACGTTGTAATGTCGAGCTCAGTTTCGCTTATAATGAAAAGTAAAACCTGTTGTACTTTTGTTCAGTTGAGTCTAACGTGAGGTGTTGATTCCCCGTTTATGCATTTTGTAAAGAGTACTTTATGAAGCAATGTCCACAGTTAGATTGTTGCATACCATTCCGTTCTCTAACTTCATTATACAGTGGTTCACACATCAGTCTCGAATGCAGTACTGATTATCATCATCTATTGACGTGCTGGGATATCCATATTTAATGTACTTTAACGCAATCCCCTACTTAATCCATGAAAACTTTTATAAATCTTTGATACTGTAGCTCAGTCTTTTGGAAGAACAACATAAGTTTATAAAATATAAATCATTCATGTTTCCCATGAAAGTAATATTTAACAGGGTAATGCTTAACTGCTGCCCAGGAAGCTCACCGAACTTTCAAGTAGTTAACATCAGGCAACACCAAACTGAACAGTGACTGCATGGAAAAGTATCGAGTACTGTACCCTTTATTTATATCAGTTGCTAAATAAAAGTTTTGTATTTGAGAAAGCATGTCCCCCTCGATACATACATTTATACATACCCTCAGGCATGGATGCCTGGTCTCATAACGCCTCTGTTCGTCTCTAAGCCTGAAACGATACTCTAACAAGTCATCGTCTAAGGAAGCTACGAACATCGCCTGAAAGTCAGGAGCAATCAATGTTAACAGTCATCTTTATGCATCTCCAAAAGAAACAATGAACGAGAAACTGTCAGTGATCACCTTCATTAGCGTCTCAACAGATAATGGCGTTACAATATATCATACTGTACCTATCATTACGGTACGGAAGATCAAAAACTAATATAAATACGCCAATGAATTTTCTGAGTATGCATATTAAACCATTGAAAATGAACTGTAACTCAATGGATCTGAAACGATTGCTTTATTCTCCGTGTTGCAATTACGGAGAATCTGCTTGTCCTGCCAGAATGAACTGTTGGTCGCAATTTCGTAACGTTGCTTCTGAAATGCTACATGCCATGTAATAAACCGAATTTATTCTTTCATAAGCCAGCTGCCATAAATTCACTGAGTCGAAGCTTTTCCCGAGCTTCGACCATCGATCAGTTCGAGAATATTCTTTGCACGGATTCGTTGTAACAACGTGGCTGATTCGCGACAGCTAATGACGGTGTTAGTGACGACGGTCGACTAATAATTAAAAGCGTTTTTGCATGATGTTTCGTTTATGGCACGGATATCGCGCAAGCCGACAGCAAGAATGCAGAATGCGCAACTTCTGTCGTTCTGCGACCTGTTCTGACGAACGGGGTGACAACCACGAGATCACAAAGCGAACCAGTTAGGTAAAAGAGCAAGTGGAACGCGCACAGCTAAGGAACGAACAGAAAAGCTGAAGTTTGTACCGAACTTTTTGGAGAAGCAGAGAATTCGACGGAAATGCCATGTCATCGAATCGACAGCTCCCCTTCACCAGCTTGCAACAGTGTTGGCAATTTGTAGCCGATGGCCTGTAGCTCTCCCTTACACTTGATTGACCACTGGTCATTTGTGGCGCCCTTCAGTTCATGACGTTAATGGCGAGGCCGATCCTAATTTGCATGCCATCAACCGGCAGTGACTAATTTTGAGGGAAGAGTCTGCAAAAGTGAGGTAATACCGTACAAGCATGACTGATTCGTCTGAACTGCAGGTAGACACGTAAAATTGAAGCTGAAATTTGAGGTGGGCCATATGGCGGCGATTGAGGAAAAGTTTCAGATTAGAAACTGACAGTCTCGTGATACGGCTTAGGGAACAGTACGATAAACGTTCTCCGATATCAAACTTCGCTGATACGCCTGGAACGAGCAATTGTCAACGTGACACAGTCACAAGACAGGTAGAAACAACAAAG